GTGTGGGTGAGTGTACAAGAGTCCTATGAGCACGTGATCCTGGAAGAGGTCTGGGGTCGTGTTTTCCCCAACAACGCTAGATATAGATGGGTTAGGGTTGCTGTCCTGAGGTAGGTGGCAATTCAGTTGTCCGGTGAGCGGTGGTAGGCAGTATTTAGGGTAGGGTTACTCTTTGGTTCGTGTCTGCAAAATCACGATTTTCATATTCAAACTGATTATGGTTGCTTCGCGGTGATCGGAGCTTGTTGTTGTCGGCGGTTGACGCCGCCCGGTGAGGGTTGTTTTCTAATGTGTGATGGTAGACGGGGGATTGGGACATGGTTTTTTTTTTATGAGTATGGAGCTCGGGATGGTAATTCTAGAGAAAAGTTAAAGCAAAAGTAGACGGAGAAAGCCGTGAAAAATATTTTGGCAGAATAAAAGTACATATTTTTCGATCCCTTTTCAAACGGGGAAAGGTTTGTATTTAGATGCAAAGTACAAGGGTTGGGCTTAAGCCCGAAGAAGCTAAGCCAGTCATAATGCTACATGTCTCCCCGCAATGCTTGGGAAACAAGCATATTGATGTGTGATGATGTCAGCCCTAGCAGCAGACTCATGCATATGATGTCATTGATGATGTAAGCCCTTTCACAAACTAAGCATGTGACGTGAGCTAGACCTGTACAAAACTGGGTCGGCCCGCCCAGCCCGCCCGCACAAATTAGCGGGCTTGGGCATATATATTTACCCACCGGCCCGGCCCGGTCCCGATCCGCAACAACATATGGGCGGGCTTGGGTTAGGGTGTAGGCCCGTTCGGGCCGATAAGCCCGGCCCGCTACATTTAGTATATATACATATATATTTTTATATATACTAATTTATGTATTTATTTACATGTACACTTGTATATTTTCATATTTACTAATTTATCTATATACATATTTATAGTTTATTATGTTTAAATTTAAGTTTTTAGTTCTTAACAAATAGTCCAACCAATATAATATCTATTTTTGTACTTAAACACAATACTTTGTGCTTGAATTTTAAATTTTAGATATAGTTTCTCATTATTATTTTTGTGTAAATATTTTTTGTGTATGTGATGAAAGGCCTGTGTACATTATAAGCGTATTAGCAATTTTTTAAATGTTGTAATATTATTTACAAAGTATTAAATAAATTGTATAATTCTGAAAAATTTAAAGTTTTACCGGACCCGGCGGCCCGGTGGACTACCCGGCCCGCTCTTACGGGCGGGTATGGACATGGGGTTAGGCCCGTTTTGCGGGCCGGGCCGGGCCCGCCCACACACGATGGGCAGAAAACTTATGGAAAGCCCGGCCCGAGCCCGGCCCGAACCCGCTTTTGTGCAGGTCTTACGTGAGCGGAAGCCCAAGTAACGTAAGCCTTTAAATGTGCGTCTTGTTGGAATGTCCGAGGAACGGTGAAGTGTCAAACCATCACTGAATCGAGGTGGATCAAGTCCCCTCGCCCTCTTCGAGTATCGTCCATGAGATATCAACAGTAGCAGCCACTGAGCTCAGCCTCACTGGAGTAACTCAGTTCGGAGCGAAACAGGCCTGCCAACGCGGAGCTGGACTAATGATGAGATCTCGTCCTCGGCGCAGGGCCTCAGCCTAGTTGATACATGACTACGTCTTTTGGGGTGTATGGGCAACTAATATACTCCATCATATTCACTCGATGGTGCCACCTGGGTAGTGACAATGTTGTTAGGTTAGTCACCTCCCTACAGGGTTGGTGTGGTAGGGACAGAGCTATTGGGACAGTGATCAAGTTGGTGAGCCAATGTGGGGGCAATGACGAGTTTGTTGCTATGTTGTAAAAACCGGACCGAGAAATGATCTGGGAGGATAACTAGGTCACGAGTCAACCCGGACCCGCTGGCAGGTCAACTTGGTCAATGCTGGAAAACCCGGTGAACCTTTATAAATTTTGTAGTAATAAAAATATAACAGTCTATAGGACTAAGAGTAGAGAAAATTATTCTTCATAATAATCACATAATTATACTCCCTCCGTTCTTTTTTATTAGTCCTTCTTTCCTTTTTGGGACGTTTTTTTTTATATGTCCTCCATTCCATTTAAGGAAAGTTTTTACTCTAAATATACCTTTATACCCCAACTTTTATTACCATTACCCCTTTCTCTTTCCTACTTTTTCATTTACTCACTACTCATTACACCTTTTACACTACCCCTACTACTTTCCTCTTAAAACCCGTGCGAAAGCCTAAGAGGACTAATATTAAAGAACGGAGGTAGTAATACTTAGTAAGCATTTTGATTACATATTCAATGATATTATTTGATATTTGTTTTAGTTTAAAATATTTTAAATTTTCATCATAGAGGTTGAATATAAATACTTTCTTTTTTGAACACACAAACATATATAAATTTATAATATTCTAAAATATATAATACATCTGTCTCATTAGAGATTATCGACTTTGAATTCAGTAAGAAATAAGTTAAGAAAGTTAAAAATTGTGTAGTTGAACTATATGGAAAGGATATATAAGTGAATACAACTACACACTAATTTTATTTGACTTTTGAATCGATCATGTCATTTGATATTTATTTTGTACATCTATAAGATATTTGTGAGCTCGTGACATGATTCTTTGTTCGATCACTTACAGACTTTAAATACAAGTCATATATATCTGTCTTTTGTATGTATATTAGTAATATTCATAATTAAGAAAGGCCAAATCACGCCCTTTGTAGAAATCAATGTTAAACTGTTAAAATCTAAGTCTGTTTTATTTTTTGATTCTAGCATAATAATTACATTACATTACTGTACTTCAGAATGCATTAACTATAATTGATAACCCTATATTATATAAAAGAAGTGGCCCTAAATAGGAGTAAAAGTGTTTATAAATTTCAAAATAGTACTTCAATTTTTTTATTCCCTAAATTGGAGTAATTATTGTCATATTTTGGAAATACCAAACTTTAGACCTACAATATTTTTCAAGCTTAGCAGCAATTATTCAAACTTAAGGAATAAAAACATACTACTCCAATTTTGGAATTTCTAACTGTTTCCCTATAAATACAACCACGAAAAAACGGCACATGAGCACGAAAATTTAGTGATGGAAAAATTCTTCATTAAATATTAATAGAAGGAAAAGAATCACGAACTGGGATGAAGCCAGAATGTAATATTAGTGGTGTTTGAATAATATTACAAATACAATAGTATATACTCCGTGAGTATAAAATAACGACAAATATAAGATTAAAATAAAGATAAATGAATAAAAATGGTGGTATAAATATGCAGTGAACATGGTCATAATTGTAACGAAAATGATTCTATTCAATTTTGAGCTGCAATGGCTAACTTATGTTCTCTCTGTCCTGCTAAAATTGTTCCATATCAATTTAAATTGTCCATCCCATTAAGATTGTCTCAAACCAATTAAGTTTGATAAACTATACGTGGTTCTAAATCATTCTTACTTTATTCTTATTTCATCAATTTAATATCAATTACACAAGTCAATTTTTCATAATAACTGCAGTGATCACCTCCTCATATCCCAATGATAGTTGGGCGGAGGTAATAATAAATTAATTAAAGATCATGGGGTAGAAGAGTGAGCTAAGAGTAAAGTGAGTAGTAAGCTTTAGAGAGAGAAAGTGAGTACTTATATCGGCAGAGAGAATATAAATTAAATTTCAAAGTGAGAACATGCATGTTTACACATGCTAGAAGGTGGTATTTATAGTAAGTAGATAACTAGAGAAATAAGCGAAGCTATAAACTAATACAAGAATGATACATGTCCTTTTCCTAGCTTGGGGATCCACCTGAAGAGATAAGCATGATGTTCAAATTGGGTATAGTGACGCCAGCCCTGATATTTGTGCATGATGATGTCAATGAGACAATGAGAGGTGTTGGATGTAAACCATACAATGTGATAGAGTTTAATTCCAACTACGAAAGCTAATCTACGAGAGCAGGTGAAATTTAGGCAGCGTAATTAAATTTTATTATTCCATAGAACGGATTCCTTTTAGGATATGTACATGAAATATTTATAGACCTTAGGTTATAGTAGTTTAGCAGGAAACTGATACATTTAATACATTCGGTTATAATAACAGTCTCGTAACGTCCTTACTATTGCGCAATCATTATCCCTCAGATGTCTGCCTGCTGCCTCCAGATGTCTGCTTGCCATGTAAGCCCTAGGATGAGTCCGGCCTCGCTGGAATCCCACTCAAGCTCAAGGTCTGCTGTCCAGACCGGCATAGTTGTGGGTTCCTTTCGAGGGTCGAGTTCCTAACAGGTCCAATGGCTTTAATCATTAATCCCGAGTAATGGGCTTCACTTAATTCATTCTTGGGTCATGGCTGCGATCCGTTCTACCATCACAATGTAACGTTGGAATACTTAATTTCAACTAAGTATAAACCTACAAACAACATTGTTATCTACCCCTCGACCTACTTTGGGTACAACTTCATGCGCTCGAGCTCGGGTTTCGCTCTCTACTAGTCGTTTACTATGGACTACTTCAACTGGGTTGGCTTGTACTGTCAAATGGCTCCAAGGGAACACTACTACATGGTCGAATATCTACTTATGTGCAAGAAAGTTGGGGTAACCATGAGTGTTGACCTCTTCTGATACATGTTACCGATCAGACTTCAACATACCAGACCAGGTCAAATTAGATTTCGACAATTGTAAAATACACAGAGATCAAACATCTGGTATACCAGATCAGACCAGACCATATCATCACATCAGAAAATTTCAATCCAAGCACACTATTCGAAATAGTGATCGAATGAATATTATTAATGTTTAAATCTGGTTTGTAGCATTAGCATATACTTTGGATCAATGAAAATGTCAATTTCTATTTAACGTCAATTGTCAAAAGTATGACTACATGTCTATCGGCGTTTAGGCGGTTTAGCAATGATCCAACACAATTAAAGATGAACAAAAGTAGGTTTATTAAATGAGAACCATGGTGGAAAAGAGACTACTCTTGAAATGGGGCCAATAAGAATATTAGAAAAAAAACAAAACACATTATTCTCATACTCTGTATTTATTAGCATGCGTATATGGATCGGAAGTACACATCACACATCCCCTTACAACCAAGAATATCAGCAGAAAGGGCTTTCCAGGCAATAAATTGAAGTCCTGACATTGCCTTATGCTTGTCTCTCAGCTTATTCCTAAACAGGATAATCCACCACAACAGTTTTACCAAAAAAGGTAAAATAGTCAATAACAGTTCGGTTGATACAATGTAATGTCTGTACATACTAAGCTTGTGATAATGGCGTCATTATGAACTTTTCCCTAGCTAGAAATGAAAGATACTACGTACTTACAGTCTTACAAAGTTACAATAGAAGAAGACTCAGGAAGATTTTTTACTAGGGGTGGGCAAGAATCTTGATGGCATTGTCGCATTCCGTTTGGGACAATTTTGTCCCAAACCGGTCCCGTACAGTTTCATTGTCTCGTTTGTAATGAATATATACAGTAGTTTTTAGCGCGTGAGTACTAGTTTGTAGTGCCAACTCAAAAACTAAGTAATAGTATGATTTTCGGAAATGTATTACTTCGTCTTTATTTCAAAAGTAATTTATCTTCACATAATAATATCATAAATTTTTAAGAAATCCCCAACTCTTTAAAAGATCAAAAAATCAGATTTTTTAGAATAAAACTCGGATTTTCCAAAACAACCTGTATTGTTGAAAACTCTTAAATTAAACCATAAGTAATTATATTCCCAACTATGGGTAAACTACCACATTTCAAATCATTTAAATCGAGAAGAATTACCACCAAAACCCATTTACAATCCAATCGTCTAAATTCTTTAAAGAGATGAGGAAGTACTCCGAAGAATTCCCAAACCAAGCAAATACAGGGTCAAATACATTGGTCACATGCCATCAACGACCCATCTGGTATCCTCACCCCCACCTAAACCACCAATACAAACCGGAGTTTTACCTTAAGTGTACATACCTTTTTAAAATCGATTCAAAGTCCCCCGAGTAATAAGAAGTCCAAAGTAGGTGGGATAGAATTTCTACCAACTTCTCCACAAAGGAACAAATCCTATAAAAGTAGACTATGGACTACTACTATCAAGTTACGAGAGGCCATTGATGTTGCCAGGCATAACTGTATCATTTTCATTTTCAATACTCGTACGACCAACAAACATAGGTCCCTCTCCGTGAAAGTTCCACTTCAAATAATTTTCTACAAATCCCTTCGCGATCACATGATTCCACACTTCATCTCTACGATACCAATAATGACTTTTACATTCTTTGCATGGGCAAGGAATTTGACCCCCACGGGCAACTTTAGCAAAAGCTTTGCCGAGGAAACTAGCCAAACCAGTCTTGAAATCTAATGAAAGTCTACGTGTATACATCCAAGTTCTGTCTCCCTCCATTACCTTAAAGTTCAATAGAGTAGACAAAATAGAAAAGCAAATAAGAAAAACCCGACACAAATCTAGCTTATTTTTAATACATAATTAAACCCAAGTTCTCATCAAAGGAAGTGAATAAGAGACTAAATCAAACTATTATAAACTGCATAAAAAACTGCACAACAACAACAAAAACATAACATAAGAACAAAACTCACATGTACCTTTGAAGTATAATTTTTGTTCAAGGCTCGTTCAACATTATATGATTAATATTAATACTTTTTTATATAGCTTCGGTGATTGGGAAACCTTTGAAAGTGGATAATTATACTTCTGCTAAGCCAAGGCCAAATTTGGCTAGAATTTGTGTCAAAGTTGATCTTTTGAAATTAAAGGTAGAATTTGTCAATATAGGCTATGATAGGTTTCTAGTCAATCAAAAAGTTTTTATGAAGATGATGTGAAGCATGGAGGAGTCAAATATTGTGGTTTTTGTAATCATGTAGGTCACAAGGAGTTAGTATGTTATGGGAAAAAGGAGAATAATTTGCAGGTTCCTTTAAAATTAAAAGGTGCCAGAGAGCATTCTTTGATTGAAAGAGTGCAGATTCATTTGACAAAGAGAATGACAGTGTGCAAGCTACTACATACCCAAGATATGCAGACTTTAGATCGAATAGATGCAAGAAGAGGCACCGGTATCGGGCAAGGTGCTGCTGAAGATCCAACGGAGGCGGTGAGAGACATAGGCTCTACTTTGCAGTCTTTAGTCAAAAAAGAATTCTAGGATTGAGGGACTTAAAGAATCTGGTGTGAGTCATGACGTTGGGCAGAAAAGTGCTAAGGATCAAGTCAAAGAAAATACAAATACACTTCTGTTTGCTCCTACAAGAACTGAAGTCTCCAAAGCTCTCTTGCTGATATTAAATCTGATTTTCTAAAGTTCCAAATGGAATTCAATAAAATGACTGAGGATGATGAATATTAAGGAACTGGGATAAGTGAGAGTCTGAGACAAATACTAGAAGAGATCGACGAAAGATGGATAAGCAGTAATGAAAGATTGAAAAGCTCTGAGTATCAACCCTGCAACACTAGTTTTAGGTGCTAATTACTTCATATGTTAAACATACAATATATTACTTAATGGAACCGGACTTCTCTCATATGTAACATGGGCATATGTAGGGGTGAGCATAAAACGGGTAGCTATATATTTGATGTCCTAGGATATAAAAGATATATCAAAAGGATTTTTTCTTTTGTCAACCTATTTGTCTTAATTTCACTAGATAAGTTTTGACAAATAGTTTTTCTTTAATTTTTTAGTGTCTTTTTATTATACTCAAAATTTTGATTGCATGGTTAAAAGCAGAAATGTTTGCTTTCTATGGATGATAACACCTTACATTTTAGGGAAAGAGGCAAATAAGCCCTCGAACTTATCAAAAAAGAGCAAAGAAGCCCTTTTGTAGGAGCTTCTGTCCGATCATCGTCATTTGGGGAGGTTCTCAGTGGAACTTTTTGATGATTTTTTTTGAGCATCTTCTTCATTAAGTGTAGTTTAGCCATACCGAATTTCAGCTAAAAATTCAACCGGGAAGGCACTCAAATGATTTTCGGAAATATACTGCGTTGTTTAACTGCGCAGTTATCTTCAAAAATTCATTTGACTGTCTTCCCGGTTGAATTTTTAGCTGAAATTCAGTAGGACTAAACTAGACTTAATGAATAAGATACTCAAAACATTTCATCAAAAAATTCCACCGTGAACCTCCCCAAATGACGATGACCGGACGGAACGTCCTACAAAAGGGCTTATTTGCACTTTTTTTATTAGTTCGAGGGCTTATTTGCCCCTTTTCCCTACATTTTATAAGTCAGAAGTGTGAAGGTTTATAGTTTGTGAAGGTTCAAAACTAACATGTTTGTGTGGCGTTAGTCATTTGGATTATTGGAAGGTATTAAATGGAGAAGGGTTTATAGTTTGGCCCCTCTCCTTGGTATGCTTAACTATGTTGATAAAAATCTTGTTGATATAAAAACAAGTATTGATTAAGTAGATAATTTATTGGATCACCACCTTAAGTAAATAGGATGTGCCATAAATTAATTTTTGTGTTACTAGTAATCAATTAATCAAAATCAAAATAAGTCTAAAAAACTAAACCAAGTAGCTGAAACCATTAATTGCATAATAGATCAAATTCTAACAAATCTCAAGTTACACACAACATCCGAAACGATATAGAAATCTACAAAAATTGAATAAAATGATGAGATTATTGTCATAAACATACACATAAAATCTATATAAACTGGCACAAGTAAATAGATAAAGTAAATTAAAAAAGAATGTAAATAAAATCATATATTAAAAATAACAAACCTGGATAATAGATGAATACCTGAACTAAGAGCATCCACAATGCATTCATGTCTAGTGTAGATAAAGTGTGCCACATCATTAAATTAGACTAGGATTAATTAATTTTTGCTCCAACGCTTGATGTCTATTAGAACGTTTGGCTGATGTGGCAAATGAAAAATTAAACACCGTCAAGAGTGTAGTCCGTGTGTAGAAATGCGTTTAGACTTGATGACTCGGATAAAAAGGCTTCTCCTTCGCCGAATAACTTGGGAAACGATAATTGCTATGAAAATACAATAACGTAGTGCATCTCATCTATAACTACTTTACGTTCTTGTAGGGTAACCGTAGGAAAAATTAGATTTTTATTAAATAAATTAGCTTTGAGACTTTATGCATTGGAGACTCCCATCGTATGTCAATGCTTAATCACTTAACTATTCATTATGTGGATTAGAAAGCCTTTTAATAATTTGACATTTGGCATAATTATTTTAGACTAGAAAGAGTTGCATTGTGGATGCTCTAAGGATATATAAAACTAAGGGAGTCAAAAAGAGAAGATTTTTTAACGCCACTATGAAATATATAAAACTAAGGATAATAAAAATCGAACATCAGTGCCTACAAACAACATTCATGAAACGATTCCAATAATATAAAAGTTGAACGCCACTAGTTCTGGTTTCAACAAAAAAAAAATCCAATCATAATCTCCTGAAATCTAATTTTAACATCAAATTATGAGATAGAAACCATACGTGATACTACTCTGGATTAGAGAAGAGCGTGATGCAATTGAAGGCTAGAAGATATAAGGAGTTCCGTGAAATCCTTGATTAAGAGTTAGAGAGTAGTGCTGGGGGACTGTTATTGTAAGCGTCGATTTGAAGAGACCGCTCGTGAGCCGCTCGGTCAAAGCTCGGATCGAGATCGGTAAAACTCGAGCTCGAGCCGAGCTCGAGTCGGCTCGTTAAGCAGTCGAGCCATAAACGAGCTTACTGATTTTAGGCTCGCTAGCTCGCGAGCCTAGTTATCTGTGTGTATACAGAGTATTTAATATATATATATATATATATATGTGTGTGTGTGTGTGTGTGTAATATATTAATATACAATACAAATTAATATATAATACAGAGTGTATATTAGTATATGTAATATATAATATTACATCCGTTCTCTTTTAATTGCAACAATAGATTTTTTGCACTATTCACATATTCTACTTTGATTATATTTTATTTATTAATGTATTATAAATTAAATTTTTAAAAAATATTGTTAAATTCTTCTCATTCTAAACTTTCAAAATATGAAATTTTTAATTTTTTTACTAATAAGGAATGAAAGATAATAATGGTCAAACTTGTGTGTTGCCAACGTGAAATGTTGATTGTTACAATTGAAAAGGAACGGAGGAAGTATAAATTAGTTTTTTATAAATTAATATACACACACATATATAATACTGATTCATAAATGTATATGAGGACCGCGGAGATAGATATTATTAATTATAAAGTAATTTAACAAAAATAATCAAAGTTTCATCCACTATTTCTTAACGGGTTGACCACTTTTGATTTATATTAGAAGTACAATTGGGTGGAGACTTGAAGTTAGAATTGTATTTTGTTTATTTTCCCGTAAGGTTTAGTTATTGGACATGTAAATTACAATTTGCAAATGTTAAGCACAAATATTTAAAGATTGTTTCATACTTGAGCTCGAGTTAGAACACGAACTTTCGACCTAATCGAACTTGTAACTTTTAAACGAACCAAAATTATCTAGCCAAACCGAGCCAAGTCAAGCCAAATCGAGCCGAATCAATATTTGCGAGCCGAGCTCGCGCCCGGATTTTTTAAGCTCGTTCGAGCCGAGCTCGAGCTCGAGCCAATACAATATAATTCGAGCTCGAGCCTACATAAATTCGGGCTCGACTCGTTTGCCCCCCTAATATGGACTTAGGGCTATCTAGAGAGATAGATCGAAATGTTTAATGTAGCGCGCAAAAAAGAAGCGGGAATGGGAGTCTGCAATGCCCAAGAGAGACTTGCTCCGTTAAAATTTTGCAAACTTTTCAAATACGGAGTAAAGAATTTTGATTCCACACAATTCTCAATTTGTTACATAAATCTCAATCACAAGTTTTATAGGGAAGAGGATGTAAATGTTAGTAATAAGATCATTTGTAGTGACGGGGAGGCCAAAATGTCAAAAATAGACTCGTTCATATGAAAACAACGTTTAGACTCATATTTTTCTGCATTTGAGCATCGTCAATAAAATAAACTAAGCATATTTTTTTACATAACAATCTAGTGAAACACTAGTTAAATTATTATAAGTAATGTTTTCCTTTAAAATTTGTCCCTGAATCATTATGAATTAAAATACACATTTTGATGTATAATAAATGAATTTCATTACTTTTAAAATGTTTTTCATTGAACAAAAAATGAACTTAGTTCAAGTAAAGTTTGATTATGGAATATTCAGTTATTCGTGGAGGCGCAATGGATTAAAATTTTGTGTTTCATGTTTTTAGGCTCACGAAAACTCCAACAATTAAATCTTCTGATATATTTTTTTATTTTATATGTTACATATTGGTGTCATATGAAGGATGCAAATATTCATGAATTTTTATATATTTTTTCAAAAAATGGAGAACAAATAAAACAGTTATAAGAGTTTTAAAAAGAAATAATTACATAAATATGACCAAAATAAAGATGATTTACAAAAATATGACAAGTGATTAGAGTAGTAAAGAAATCATAGTAATTCATGTTCAAGTTTTGAGCTTAAGTTACTAATAAGTCCGTATTTTGACACGTATTTGATGCATGTTGAGATCGGCTTTTGATGATTTTCCTAGCTTTAAGGTGTTACAAGTCTCAATTTTAGCTCAAAGTTTGTTTACCGGGCGTTGGTTCAAGTTTTGTGTTGTTTGTAGTCAAAATCAGAGAATTTGAGCCCGGGTACCGGCACTTGAGGAACAATCGGGATGATTTGAGAAGCATTTGAGAGTGATTTGAGATCTTTGGAGGTCACCGGGAAGTTCACGATGAAGATTTGAAGGAAAAAGAGCTCTAGGATTGGCTACGGGGTCAAAAGAAGATGAATAAAGCTTGAAAACGACGATCAGGATGACCTTCTGTCAATCGTTCAAGCATATCTCTTTGTAGAAACATCCAATGTACACGATTCAAGTTCCATAGGAAAGCCAACACCAAGGGCTACAAATCATATAAGACACCTTTGCGAGAATCTGAGAGGAAGAAGGTGAAAACAGACGATGAAGTCAGATGATCTCTGCTGCAATTTCAGAAAGACACATTCCACCGTTTTGATCATATCTCTTGATTGGATGATTCAAATCACATTCGGAAAATTGGAGTGGATAGAAGACTTCATTATATACAACTTTCATGAAGGAAGTTTTGCCAAATTCGGAATTTAAGTAGGCACGATCGTGCCCTCAAAGTCAGACACGATCGTGCCCTCAAAGTCAGACACGATCGTGCCTAAAGAGAAAAGCACCGCGGAGTTACTGTCAGCCGGGCACGATCGTGCCTGGAGGGAAGCACGATCTTGCCTGCCCAAAATGCGCATTTTTGCTCCGGAGGCACGATCGAAGGCACGATCGTGCCTGGCATCGTGTCTGGCTCCGAAAATCCTAATTCAGCTCAAATTTCACCCGATTTTTCTTTTTTAAACAGCCTGTAAACCCCCGTTTTGAGGGGGGAGCTTAGAGAGAGTGCCTAACACGAATTTTAGAGGGCTTTTCAGCCTTGTTCATCAATCTTTTGGGA